GGGGGGGGGGGCAGCACGCGCGGCAGTTCAGCGCCGTGCGGGGCTACTAGCATGCAATACGCACGGTGTGTACGCACGGTGTGCGTACGCCCAGTGCTGGCTTCTGACTGTCGTTGCTGTTTCTCGACGGTCTGTGCTTGTGCGTCTTGGGCCCCGGGGCTGTGCTTTTGTGTGAGCGCGCCGAGGCGGGGCGCGAATACGGAGGTCGTGTATCGTCACGGGCCACTATCACGCTGGGCCAGGAGTGTACGGCCAAGACTTCCCGCTGACTAGGAGTGCAGCGGAGTACGTGTGCTCTCGAGCCCTCGTCCGAAAGGTCAAGACTACGCGCCCATTCCCCGTCTACACACCACTGTCTTGACTCTGCCCCGCGGACTCCACGTGTGCGCGTGTGCCCCGTCGACCGTGTGTTCGGCTGACTGACTGGCCGTGTCTAGAGATTCCCAATCTGCCGCGCCACTGACTGGCCGTGTCTAGAGATTCCCAATCTGCCGCGCCACTGACTGGCCGTGTCTAGAGATTCCCAATCTGCCGCGCCACTGACTGGCCGTGTCTAGAGATTCCCAATCTGCCGCGCCACTGACTGGCCGTGTCTAGAGACTCCCAATCTGCCGCGCCACTGAGTGGCCGTGTCTAGAGATTCCCAATCTGCCGCGCCACTGACTGGCCGTGTCTAGAGATTCCCAATCTGCCGCGCCACGAACCACTCGCTCTGCTCGCCCCCGTTGCCGCACTCGAAGCAGAAGCGGCCGAGGCCAGACGTCTTTTGCAGCGGTAGCTTCGGCACCTAGAGCGGCCGCACACTGCTCGGTACCCCCCCTGCACATCTAGAGCCATGGGCGACCCCCCCCCCCCCCCCAGGAGAAGGGCTCTGCTGCTGGGGGGGTCAAACCCCCCCTAGCCGGCTAGCAGCAGGGATGGGTCTAGATGTGCAGGGGGGGGGGGACCCAGGAAAGGGCGGGCGCTCCTACCCTGGGGGTCCCATTCTCAAACGAGGTGAGGGGGGGGTCCCTGAAGTGGTAAGGGAGGGTTCTCCCCACCGACAAAGGGGCTGTGGGGCAAGGGGCAGGGTAGGCCCTTCCATCTCCACTCCCCGGAACC